AGGTGCCCTTGTGGGGCGCCCTACAGGGTTCCAAGACCAGCTGTCCTCAAAGGAAGTCCATTGTGGCTGCCTCCATACCCCAAGGCGACTCCTTATCACCTACGGTGGTGAACCTGATTTTGGCGCCTGACTGATCGCTGCACAGCTGCCATCTACAGTTCAGGGCCTGTTCCTTGACGATCGCACGTGGGGTAGCAGAACTCCGATGGATTGTTTTCTGGTTCATCAGCTGTGGACCAGACACAGAAAGACTGTTTTGGGCTTGAAGGAAAACCAGACCAAGACCCAAGTTACATAAATCTTTGGCCACCCGAGTCGACAAAGCCACTCAAGTGGAGAAAGTCCGAGCCGCTCCCACCTGTGCTAAGCGTGCCTTTGTGGCTGGAATGGCAGCTACAGCTAAGGCAGCCTACGGATGGCTTGCTCGCTATCCAGCCAAGCACCTGGTTTCCAACCTTGAAACTCGACTTCAGAAGGCTGGCTATGCGCATCATGCAGCGTCGCCGGATCTCGCCAAAGCCATATACAGGGGATGTTCCGTTCACGGCAGGTTTGAACGCCATTTCGGCAGTCCATCGGGCTGTCAAGACTTCAGCAATCCTGCTAAGCGTCCACTGGCGCATGACCTGTACCCGCGCGTACCCGTCGCATTATGACCTCACTAAGGTGGACCGAAAGAGCTCCTTGGATTTGGGATTCGGAGTACCAGTCTCCGATTTGTCTAGACTGACCCCTCCCGCCGAGACTGACCCCTTGTGGGAAAGCTGGCGCTGCATCCGCTTGGAGTCCTATTTGAAAAACAACAGGCATGAAACGGCCGCAGCGCAGAACGTTGTTTACAATGAACATATTGTTACGCAGGTTCGGCAGTGGGCTAAGCATGCTGATCGGCACACTGTTGCCGTACTGACGGGAGCTTTGGTCTCCCCCGATTATTTTGCCCATATCAACCTCCGAAAAGGGATCAACGACGATGGCCAGCGCCCATACTGTGGTGCCGGCCGTGCTGATTTCGAACGTGTTGTTTGGTCGTGCGGTTCTTTTCCACGACCCAGGCCTCCACGACCCCAGTGCCCGATGGAAAGACGATTAAGCACACTTTAGAACACATCGTATCGGAGCGACGGGACTGCTTGTCCCACCGATATATGATGCCTGAAAGCTCTCTAATGGGTAGCTGCGGCACCGCGGCTGCCCCCCCACTTAGGTGTAGTCTCCGGCGGCACATGCGTTGCTGCTTTGGGCTGCGTCGGCATCTATTTCACACTGGGCGGCCTTCTCACTGAACTGGAATTTGTGGAACATCAAGTTCGCCAAAGAGCTGCAGTCTTCAAAGGCGTTGTCACCAATGAAGATCACAGAGTCTGGAGTGATCAAGTTCACCAACGTCTGCAATATTGAAAGGCTTTTGTGACCCCAATGCAAGTCACTGATCTTGGGATGCCAAAGAGCTGCCATGCTGAAAGCCAGTGTCAAGGCGGGTCACCAAGGGGTGGAATGGTCAAGCTCACGAGTCCAGTGGAGCACGTGGGGATGCTCCAAGCCGATAAGGTCAGGGGCCACATACCAGGTACTGCTGCTGATCCAAGAAATGCTCCACCACATTTAAGCCGTCCAAAGACCCGTAAAACCAATGGATCCATCTATGTTTGTGGAAATTGTCTTCCTCCAACAGCCAGGGACCAGATGAAGTTCATGCCTCCAACTGTTCTGATAACCTGGCTAGCGACTAAACCCAAGTGAACTGTGCCAATGGAATCTGACCTTGACCTGGATCCGGAAAGCCACAGCTCAAATACAGTCTCAGCTCTGGGTCGCGCAGTCGCTGAAAACCCCCTCTGGGCGATGAAAAGCTCACCAGTCGCTTCAAGTCAAGGTGTCCCAGTCGCGGAAAGAAAGACGGAATTTCTGAGTCGGATTACCGGTCCATGCCGCTGCAATCTGTCAAGTCAGCGCCACTTGAAATATCGAAGGAACTCTTCAGCATCCCCTTCATCCTGCAAGGTCCTTTTTCTCCAAGGTCACTCTCACTGCCATGGGGTAGAACACCCACCACATCACAGTGGATGATGGACGGAAGTCGATCAAAGAGTTGATCTCTTTCAATCGCATCTTGGAGCGGAATTAGCTCTGGACATTTTGGACACCTCCAGATTTGGCCAAAACAAACCTCCTCCCTCACCTGCCCCCCATACCCAGCTCTTCTTCGCCCACCTTGGTCGCCAGCTCATCGGCCTTCTCCTTGTCGCCAGGCAGAAAGCGCTTGCCGAAGTTCCTCAGAATGGTCAGGGAGTGCGGTGGTCCACGGGTACTCTGGGACATCTGTACTCTCTAGAAAGGTTTTGTGACTCAGGCGTATTGATCTTTGCTTGATTGCTTTGGCGAAGCTACGGTTGTTGGATTTGCTCTGCGATTTAGGAATCAAAACATGTTTCTTCCGTGTCAAGTTAGCTTTGTTTGGACAACGACCATTCTACCCTGCAAGAATGAAGCCTGCCTAACTTCTGATGAGGTTGAATGAGGTTGACCAATGCATTCTGCCGGGCGTCAAATCGCCCGGCGCACGTTTGGCGCCCTCCCCCTCGAACATGTCCAGCATTGTCAGCCTGGGGCCACGATTCTAACGACCCTGATCCTGAATCTGAGACGAATCCTGCAATGAATGAACAGAAGGCTTATATATATATAAGTCTTCCAGTTTTGCACGCCCAATCCAATCGTTATATGTTACTTATGCTTCTCTTCGAAGATGAAAAAATGATGCCTACCTACCCAGCCAAACAACCCCGCTCTCCCTGGTGCTTAGGCGTTTAGCTGTCACACATCTGCCATTGGAATCAGCACGTGACGCAAGTTGACACCTAACATAACAACCCACTGATCGGCCGGGGGACAAAGACTTCATCTATCTAGCAGCTCCATGACACCAGTGTTACGGCTAGTTGAGTGCTCGTCCGAAATCGCTCATCGTCCCAGAAGCTTGCCATCGTAGGAAGAGCTCTCAATGTAACCAGCGATGAAGATCAGCAGCGCAGTCAAGTTGGGAGGTGCAGTGTAGATGGCCTCCGGCAACATCGGGGTTTCTCTTTTGCACGATTCCAACAAACAAAACGCAAAAACAAGTGCTCCTTGTCCCGTACAATCTAGGTGTTGTCTCTAGAAACCAATACCCCCACTTGACCTGAATACTGAACACCAAGCAATCCTGGAACCAGGCATCAGCGGAAAATCCACACACAAAGCAGCTCCTCCCTGACTCGCCTGCAACGCATCGGGCGTCTCAGGGCAGCCTGTGAAAGGTCTGAGATGGTCTGAGGATCCCTCCACCCCTGTCTCCCACATTGTGACAAACATCAGTCCAAGTTGGAAGGAATATACCAATCTCCCTGTCTGTTACCCAATTTGCTCCATAACTTCGTAACTAGATGTCAGCCCGTTAAACGCAACCGCCGCTTCACACACCGCCCACACCACACAAGAGCCCGACCCGCCTGGGAAGTTCCAATACTGTTCGGTGACAAAGCCGACTGTTGCCAACATGCACACCCGGCCGTGCTTCAACTCACTCTCCCGAAGCCACTTCACCTGACAGGTCAAGCCGGTCTGAGCCGGTTGAGACCGGGCATGCGAAGGCTGGGGAGGGCGGAAAGCCTGTCTTCCTCAGTTCACTCAGTGGTTTGTGCCTTTGTGATCCTACTTTTCAAGGATTGCCACCTTCGTTGCTCCTGGCTAGTTTGAGGCCGAGGTGGCATATTGATTTAACAAAAAACTCAAAAGCTTTGGCAAAGACACTGCACCAGGGACGCGATACTACAAGCGAATCGAGGCTTGAGCGGCCCTAGAAAAAAAAGGATGTTCAGAATAACGGCCACCAAAAGACCCACGGACCCCGTGTCGAAACCATCTTCCTTCGTCTGGCCCAAGGAGACGAACGTCGCAGACGAAGAGTGTCGCAGCCCTTCCGATCATTGGAACCCAGCTCGGTGGAAGTCACTACCCTTCATTATCTAACTGTCAATACTTATCTAACTGCCTAGACGTCTAACTCATCTAAAGATGAGTATGATAGATGTCTAAGTCTCATCTAACTCATCATTATCCTACTGTCTAGATGAGACTTCCCTCCCAGACGAGACTTCCCTCCCACACCAAAAATCACATCCCTCCTCCCACCACCGCAGGTTAGTCCGGCACAGCTCGTCGCCGCGTCGGTCATCAACGTCCCAGGCGCGTCGAAGGTGTCGGAGAAGCCCAGAGGGTCGAACTCCGCCTCGCCACCGACCAGGCCGCCCAAGTTCTGAGGCTTTGGCCTCGGGAACACCGCAGTAGAAGATCCATCCGCGCCTAACTTGTGGCCTTGAATCACGTTCAAACAGGTAGTGGATGAAGTCAAGAACCAAATTCGATTCCCAGCTGGATCCATTT